GGTCTTTTACCTCCTTGGTTAGGTTTATCCCTAGGTATCTTATTTATTTTTTGTTATAATGGTAAACGGGATTTGTGTGTGTGTGTGTGTGTGTGTGTGTGTGTGTATGCATGTATTTGTTCTTGTTTCTCTTTCTGAATATTCATTTTTGGTGTGTAAGAATGCCATCAGTTTCTGGATGTTAATTTTGTTTCCTACTTTGCCAAATGTATTTATTAAATCTAGTAGATTTTTTATGGAGTCCTTACGGTTTTCTATGTACAATATCATGTTGGCGAATAATGACAGTTTCACTTCCTCCTTTCCAATTTGGATCCCTTTTATTTTTTCTTCTTTTTTTTTATTGCTGTTGCTAAGACTTCAAGTACTATGTTAAATAAGAGTGGAAAAACTGGGCATCCCTGTCTTGTTCCTGTTCTTAAGGGAAAAGCTTTTAGTTTTTGCCCATAGAGTATGATGTTGGCTGTAGGTTTTTCATGTATGACCTTTATTATGTTGAGAGATGATCCCTCTATTCCCACATTGCTGAATGTTTTTATCAGAAATGGGTGCTGGATTTTGTCAAATGCTTTTTCAGTGTCTATTGATATGATAATAGGTTTTTATCTTTAATTTATTTTATGTGGTGTATCACATTTATTGATTTGTGAATATTGTACCAGCCTTGCATCCCTAGGATAAATCCTACTTGGTCATGGTGAAGAATTGTTTTAATGTATTGCTGGATCTGATTTGCTAATATTTTGTTCAGGATTTTGGCATCTGTGTTCATCAAGAATATTGGCCTGTAGTTTTCTTTCTTTGTAGTGTCTTTATCTGGTTTTGGAAGTATGATTATGCTGGCCTCACAAAATGAGTTTGAAAGTCTTTCTTCTTCTTGAATTTTTTGAAATAGTTTGAGGAGAATGGGTGTTAGTCTTCTTTAAATGTTTGGTAAAACTCCCCAATTAAGTCATCCAGGCCTGGGCTTTTGTTTGCTGAAGTTTCTTGATTACATCTTCAATTTCCTTAGTTGTTATTGGACTGCTCAAGTTTTCTGCCTCTTCCTAGTTCAGTGTTGGGAGACTGTGATTTTAAAAATTTGTCCATATCTCCTAGATTGTCTAATTTGTTGGCATATAATTGTCCATAGTATTTTCAATGAATCCTTTGTATTTCTGTGATGTCAGTTATTTCTCCACTTTCTTTTCTGATTTTGTTTATTTTGGTCCTCTCTCTTTGTTTTGGTGAGTCTGGCTAAGGGTTCATCAATCTTGTTTATCTTTTCAAAGAATCAGCTCTTTGTTTCATTGATCTTTTGAATTGTTTTTCTAGACTCTATGTTGTTTATTTCTGCTCTGACCTTTACTATTTCATTCCATTCACCTGCTCTGGGTTTTTATTTTTGTTTACTTTCTAGTTCTTTAAGTTGTAGGGTTAGAAAGTAAATTAAAATTTTTTCTTGTTTTTTGAGGTAGGTGTGTAATGCTATGAAATTCCCTCTCAGGACTGCTTTCACTGCGTCCCATAGATTTTGTGTTGTGTGGTCATTTTCATTACTTTCCAGGAAGTTTTTTTATTTTTTCCTTGATCTTCTTGGTAACCCATTTATTGTTTAATAACATGCTATTTAGCCTTCATGTGTTTGAATGCTTTGGAGTGTTTTTTGTTTTGAGTGTTTTTATTTTAATTAATTTCTAGTTTCATGCCATTGTGATTTGAGAAGATGCTTGATATGATTTCAGTCTTCTGAATTTGTAGAGACTTAGTTTGTGTCCTAACATGTGGTCTGTCTTTGAGAATGTCTCATGTGCACGTGAGAAGAATGTGAATTCTGCTGTTTTGGGGTGTAATTTTCTGTAGATTTCTATTAAATCTATTTGATCTAGTGCATCATTTAGAATCTTTGTTTCCTTGTTGATTTTTTGTCTAGAAGATCTATCTAGTGATGTCAGCGGGGTGTTGAAGTCCCCTGCTGTGATTGTATTCTTGTCAATTTCTCCTTTGAAGTCCTCCAGAAGATTTTTAATATATTTTGGTGCTCCTATATTGGGTGCATATATCTTCTATTGGATAGATCCTTTCAATATTATGTAGGGCCTTCTTTGTCTCTAGTTATGGCCTTCATTTTGAAATCTATTTTATCAGATATAAGTATTGCTACCCCAGCTTTTTTTCCCTTTCCACTAGCTTGGAAGATTTTTTTTCCATCCCTTCACTTTCAACCTATGTGAGTCTTTTGTTGAGAGGTGGGTCTTTCTCTTACAGACAACAAAAAATGAGTCATGCTTTGCTATCCATTTAGCTACTCTGTGTCTTTTGATTGGCGTGTTTAGTTGATTTATATTTAAGGTTATTATTGAAAGGTATATATTTATTGCCATTTTTATTTATTATGGTTATGTTTCTTTTTCTATTTCTTCTTATGACAGCAGTCCTTTTAACATTTCTTGCAGTGTTGGTTTGGTGCTAATATATTCCCTTAGCCTTTTTTTGGTCTGGAAAGCTCTTTATTTCACCTTCTTTTTTGAATGATAGCCTTGGTGGATATTGTGGTCCTGGATTCAGATTCTTATTTTTTGTGACCTTGAATTTTTTGTGACTTCATGCCATTCCCTTCTGGCCTGTAGTGTTTCTGTTGAGAAATCAGCTGATAGATTTACAAGGGCTCCTTTGTAGGCAACCTGCTGCTTCTCTCTTGCTGCCTTTAAGATTCTTTTATTTTGTCTTTAATTTTGGCATTTTAATTATGATGTGGGTCTTTGTGTGTGGGTGTTTGGGTTCTTCTTACTTGGGGCTCTTTGTGCTTCGTGAACTTTTTGGCCTTTTTCCTTCACCAAGTTAAGGAAGTTTTCTGCCACTATTTCTTTAAATATATTTTCTAATCCTTGTGCATTTTCTTCTTCTTCTGGAACTCCTATGATGCAGATGTTATGTTTCATGTTTTTCCACAGCTCTCTTCAACTGTCCTGTTTTTCAATTGTTTTTCCTTTTTGGTTCTCTGGTTGGGTGTTTTTTTCTAATTGGCCTGTCTTCTAATTGGCTGATCTGATCCTGAGCTTCCTCTAATCTGCTGGTTATTCCTTCCAATGTGTTCTTTATTTCTGCTATGTCATTCTTCATTTCCACTTGGTGGTTTTTCATTTCCAATTGGATGATTTTCATTGTTTTTATATCTTTATTCATGCTGTTGAGCTTCCTCATATTTATTACCCTGAACTCTATCTCTTATAACTTACTTAATTCCATTTAATTTATCCTTTCTTCTGTAAAACTTTCTTGTTTTTTTCATTTGGGATTTGTTTTTTTGTTTCACCATGTTGGCTGTCTCAGTAGGTTTTGGAGCCTGGCAAATTTTCCCTGTGGGTGTTGGAGTTCTGCTGATTGTGGCTCCCTCTACTGGGTTTGGATGAGTGTGGGAGGGCCCACATTAAACACCAATGTCTAGTCTTACATTCCTGGGTAGATTTTCAGGCCAATCAAAGATTCAGTTATCCTGTACCTTTTGCCTGCAGGCTATTAGTTTGTTACTTAATGAGCCTTAGGTTGTAGCCCTCAACTGAATGAAAAATACCTCAGGTGGACAGAGTAAAGGGATTTCCAGGGGGTGGGGCAATTTCTTTTTCCTGGGTTAAATTGCTTTGATAAAAACGTGGCTTCTGCAGTGTGGATTATTGGCTCAGTGCAGGGGTCCTGGCCTCTGCCTTCATAGCTTTGTCCCCAGAGCCACAGGGTATTGTTAAATTCCTGACAGAGGGGCACTCCCCTAGACTAAAACCACAATGATGGGGCTACTTCACAGAGATGGGTACTGATGTCATGGGGGGAGGGGCTCAGTATAGTCGGCCCTTGTTTATTGCAGTTAATCAGTCCCTGTACTGCAGTAAATGAATTTCCACAAAGTAGGATTCTTTATTTATATACAGTCGTCCCTCGCCACTTTGCGCTTGGACTTTCGCAGCTTCACTCTATTGTGGTTTTTTCAAATACTATACTATTTTTGAATAAACTGTGATAGAGTGAAGCCACAAAAGTTGAAGTGCAAAGTGGTGAGGGACAGCTATATAGGAACTCAGGCCTCAGCCTTCACAGCTCAGTCCTCAGGACCAGAGCCCCCAACAATAACAGCCTGGTCAAAATTTCAGATCTTTCTCAGAGGCTTTTTGTTTTCTCCCTCCTTGCTTGCTGGTACTCTTGAGTTGTTAATGAGCTTCAATTTGCATTTCTTCAGCCCAGAGGGAGGGGCCACTGCTTCTCCCCAGGGCTCTAGGAGGGGCTTTTTGAGTAAGATGGCTACTGTCCTATGAGGGTGTGATTCAGCATAAAACTCCCAATGACCTTTTCCCAGCTCGCTCCCCAGTGCCATGAACCTCCATTCTCTTCACACAGTCCCAGTCCTGTCTGCCCTCCCTCTGCTGGAGCCCAAGGTGAGTGGCTGTAGCTGATTTAGTGCCCTGTCACTTTAGGGAAGTGCCAGTGTTCCCCAAGCCTCTTCCTGCTGGACAAAGCCTCAGCTTTGGTGATTTCCTCAGCCAGGTGTTATGTGGGCATCTCTCCGTGTTCCTCCACTCTGTGCTGGGGAGCTGGCTTGGGGTTTTAACCCCTGACTTCTCAGAGGGAACTGCTCAAAGCTAAGACAGCCCTCAGCTGTCTGTGGCACCTAGCCAGCCCTCTTGTGCCTCCGCAGCGCCTTCCAGGCTTGGTTTGGTGTCCTCGTTCTGTCCCTGGTTATAAGGATTCTCTCCAGCTGCTCTTCAGTTGGTTTTTCCCAATGATTTGTCTTTATTTTAGTTGTAATTTCAGTTTGGTCCTGGGAGACGGTCTGTGTAGCTTCCATTCACTCCACCCCATTTTAATCCCCACTCTGATATTCACTTATAAAGGTGTAGGATTTTAAAACTAGTACCCATATACAGATCAATGCAGAACTGTACAAAAATATTTGAATATTGGGAAATAGTGGTAAAATAGAAATTAATACCTTTTTCTTAAAAAAAGAAAAAAATCACATTTTACTTTACATACTTACACATTGAGGTTTATTTTTAAAACGCTTCATTTGCAGTGAGTTCATTATCTTTTATCTTATCTACAATGATTAGAAAAATGATAGGAAGAAATTATTATAATTAAAGAACCAGACTTGTGAACAATGACATCATTAGAAAGGGCTTGTTTTCATTGCTATGCCATTAACTAGAAAGACATGGTGAGTGTTCTTCATAACCAGGTTCACAGTAGACAGGAAGGGCGGGCCTTCTGAGCGAGGAGATCCTGAAATCACAAGCTCCAGCCTCCATCGATGATGACAGGATTACCTGTTACGTAGGCAGACTGCAGTGGTCAACACAAGAACAATTAACCGGGGTTACCACAGGCTGTGTTTTTTCTACTCTATGACTGAGAGAGCTGAACAATTTACTCTCATGGTAATAGGAAAACTCACTTAACAAAGAGAATTTATGGAAACCTGAATTAATTTTGGAAGATTTAAAATTGCCAAGTGTTCTTGTGGTCTGGCCTCTGGCTGGTGTTTCAGCACATGTCACATTCTAAGCAAGGTCTGTGGGGTGTTTGGTCTTGCAATCAGAACACTTAGAAGTTAGGTGACATATTCCCGAAATTAAGGTTAAGTATAGACTGGAACAGTATGTTTTCATTTTGAAACTCAGAACTATCCTAAACCAGCTGAATTTTATGCTATTAATAAAATTTTTGAATATAATCAGTGTGTTGGTCATAAAGTCGGTCATGTCAATTACCAAACAAAATTTTTAAAAGATGTTGTACATATAGTTGATCAATATACATAGGCAATTTCAGGGACTGAAGCACACTAAAGTATTTGAGCCCTGGCTGGTTTGGCTCAGAGGTTAGAGCATCGGCCTGAGGTCAAGAGAGACCTGGGTTCAGTTCCCGCTAGGGGCACGTACCTTGGTTGTGGTGTGTCCCTGGTCCTGGTTGGGTCGTGTAGGTGGCAACCACTTGATGTGTCCCTTTCACGTCGATGTTTCTCTCTCTCTCTCTCTCTCTCTCTCTCTCTCTCTCTCCCTCCCTCCCACTCTATCTGAACAAAATATGGAAATGTGTCCTCGGGTGAGGATTAAAATAAATAAAATAAATAAATAAATAAATAAAAATTTTAAAAAATGTATTTGAAAAATTTGTATGAAGATTATTATTATAATCTATTAAACTATGAAAAAAAATCTATACTAGTTTTAGATACAAATCTGTACTAAACTAAAGGATTTAAAACAAGTAACTATTTTTTTCCACAGAATTTTTTATTTTCCAAGGAATTAAAGCTAAAATGATTCCTTGTGGTAGAGGTTTAAAAATTTTCTTTTAACTTAAACGTGGATAATAAAGATTCAAATTTCTGTTCTTAGTTTTAAATTTATCTAAAGCCTCAGACAATGGAAGAAGGAAGAAGGGAAGACATAACACAAGCACAGAAAGTGTTAAAGTTTATTCTAAGAAAATGGATCATATAATGTAGATAAACTAGGAGGGTTACTAATCACTTTACCAAAAAATGACCCCGACTCTCCCAAGTATTTTTATAAGGCAAGCTCTCTGTTACACATATGTACTCCTCTGGGCCCCTTTAAAGGCTTAAAGATCCTTTTGTCGCATACTTCAAGCCAGAACATTTTCAAATATTTGGTAACTTAAGCTCTGGATAAACAAGGGCAATGTAACTAATCCACTGTATCCCAAAGTCAAATGAGCTATTCTGAAGATATGCATAGAGGGAAATCACAAAGGTCAACATACTTGTTTCATGAATAATTTGTCTAGCAAACTCCCCAGCTATTAACGACTGTTAATAGTTCTGAGTAGTAGTAACTGCTCTGTCACTAAAACATTTCAAATCCTGTGTTTGTCACATTCTCCAACCACCTGGTGTGCACACCAAGTTCCTGTAAAGAGGAAGTAACTGATCAGTGACACACCTCCCCTCTCCCGCCTACTCACTTCCCTTTCCTTGTCTCTCTTCATACAGTGTAGTTCCTGGTCATGTGACATTCAAAGCCATAACACAGAGAGGGGTGTTCTTGTACTCTATACCTTATACCCAGAGTTTCTGTTTTTTCAGTACCATGCCATTTAAACATACACAATAGCTGCTACAGAAGAAACGGGTTCCTAAATAAATGCAAAGTGGAAAGAGACAGAATTAAGAATTTCCATACACGATGACAAGTAAGAATTCATAGAAAGAAAGAGCCAGTGGCAGTCTGCTAAAGAAGTCACCGGTAAAACTAAAAACACAGATGTCAATGCTGTGTTTGCTACATACAATTAAATCTGATGAACCCTCTCCCGTGTCAGCTGAAGCTCTCATAATTCTCTGGACCACAGGCCTACGCTCTAACCGCTGAGCCAAACCGGCCAGGGGGAAGCTCTCATAATTCTGGAGGCTTATTTGTTTGACTTACATTTAGCCAGAGTTTCCCCAACTCTAATTTTTGAAAGCAACTATTTCTTATAAAATTGAGCAGTTTTTTTACTCCTCCATTTCAATTCCTACAAGATTTAGTAACATGTAAAGTTGAAGGAGAAGTCGGCTGCTCAGATCAAAGGGGACTTTCTTGGAGCAAATGAAATCAGAACGGATCCCTTTCTAGTAACTGCAGCATCTTAGCAAATAGATGCCATAATTCTCTAAGATGACATTTTTTGTTTAGCAAATAGTGGCCAAATATGATTGAGGACAATGAACTCCCTGGGAAGAGCAGTGCTTACTTCATCAGAAGCCAGATACACGCACAACAGGGCTATCTCTTCGGCAGTTGCAAACCTTCCAGTCTTCTGTCTCTTCAGAAAATCGCTCAGTGCCTGTGACCAGAAACCATACCAGATATCAGGATCGGAGCTGAAGAATGAATGCACCTGCTATTCCTTCTGGGGGTCAAAGGCAAGGTGAATCTACAGAGGTTCCTTCATCATGCATGATATATAACACGTGAGAATATCATTAATATCATTAATTGTGGACTAAGCAGACCAAGCAGGGCTATGGTGACTTCCTACCTAGTCAAACTCTTTTGTTATACTAAAACCTACAGACACTGTGTCAAATCAGAAAGTTAATATCAAAGAAGAGGTTTTTAAAGTTGTAGTAACATACACCTAATGTACCATTTACCATCTTAACCATTACAGTTCAATGTGAACACATTCATACTGTTGTGCAACCAATTTCCAGACCTCTGTTCACCTTGCAGCACTGAGACTCCGTCCCCATTAAACAACTACTCCCCATTCCCACTCCCTCAGCAAGCCCTGCCCACCTTCTACTTTCTGTCTCTATGAATGTGTCTACTCTGGGTAAGGAACAGGGACTTTTCTAACTGGAACATTTAAACACATTTAAGAGAGTAGATATATACCTCTTCAGGATTTGGTCTGGCTTGTATTCTTTCTTGCAGAGATGGGGTATCAACTGTTCCTAAATTAAAGGAGGACATTCAGCTTGGTTACTTTAACTGAAAAAATAAATTGACAATTAAACTTCCTTTCCATGTGATATGACAATCAGTGAACTCCCTCTCCAGGACTTAGAATGACAACTGCACCTCCACCTGCCTGCCCTTTCATTTAATAGGCTTACGACTCCTTTCGTAACATTTCTGTGACTTTTTATTTATTTATTTATTTATTTAATCCTCACCCGAGGACATTTTTCATATTTTGTTCAGATAGAGTGGGAGAGAGAGAGATAAACATCGATGTGAAGGGACACATCGAGTGGCTGCCACCCACATGACCCAACCAGGGCCGGGGACAAACCGCAACCGAGGTACGTGCCCTTAGCGGGAACCGAACCCGGGTCTCTCTGGACCACAGGCCGACGCTCTAACCCCTGAGCCAAAGCGGGCAGGGCTCTGTGACTTTTTAAAACACAGAGTATGGTCCTTGATGACACTAGGCAGGGACTCTGAGTGAATCCCCAGCATCCCCAAGACATGTATTTTAGTCACGTTAACATGATGCTTTATGGATTTTAAGCACTTTTACCTGTATTACTTTAGTTAATCCTCACAATCACACTGAGATGTAGATGCAATTATAGGAGTGCTTTATCCGTGCAAGGATCCAGACTCCTAATGCCCCCAGGACCATTCCTGCTGCCAGGCTCACGCAGGGACCCCGAGGGATGACTCCATGGCTGTCATAGTCTTCCATAATCTAGGTGCTTCTAAATTTTCCGCATGATCTTGCCTATTTTCATTGGTTTCAAATTCCTATTTTTAAGCACTGTCTTGTGTGTCTCATCAAAAAATGTAATTTGACCCTGGCCAGTTTGGCTCAGCAGTTAGAGTGTTGGCCTGTGGACCAGAGAGTCCCAGGTTCAGTTCCCACTAAGGGCATATACCTCGGTTGCAGTTTGTCCCGGCCCTGGTTGGGGTCATGTGGGTGGCGACCAGTCGATGTGTCTCTCTCACATCGATGTTTCTCTCTTTCTCTCTTCCTCCCTCGCTCCCTCCCACTCGATCTGAAGATAAAGGCAAAAATGTCCTTGGGTGGGGATAAAACATTTTAAAACATTAATTTTAAATTATTCTGCTTAAAAAAAAAGGCACTAAAAAGGTTTTAATTCCCACTTCATTTAAGTTCCTACTAAGCAAGTGCCCCGGACTTTTTGTTCACTGATGTAGTCTGCACATTCTCTTCAGAGGGCTGTTTATTTCCTGAGTGACAGTTCTCCAGGGACCACAAGATCTAAGGTCATAATACATGACTTTATAGCCATAGCCTCAGCTGTATCTTCAGACAAGGCTCCGGAGAACGCCACAGGTTTGATGCCTGCTTGGAAACCATTTCTTAATTTTGTCGTCATTGGCCATTTCTCTGGAGAGGCTGGGAATCTTCCAAATCAGCAGATCCTTTCTCGTAAAACAGGGCTCTTTCCTTAGCTTCTCTCCCTCCTCACACGTTACTGTAAGTGGGCAGCTTTTGAAATCTGGGTGGAGATGGCCTTCACGAGATCACCCCCTTCATCAGGGATGTTCCTTCCCTTCCATGTCACGGCAGCAGTCGTGCTGCTAAACCTTCTGAAGCCACAGAACAAAACCTCCTTGTCCCAGTTTCCAATAGTGTTTTCCTCATTCCCCTCATCAACAGCCTCCTTGAGGGACCACATTCTATCAACGTCACGCTCAAGGCACCTAAAGCTTTTGCTTACCACTCTCTCCAAAATCCTCAGCTTGAGCAGCTTCCTTCCCCGGAGGCAAATGCGCCTCGTCTTACACGTGGCTGGGACGACCGGCTGGCCAGTGAGCACTGCAGAGCAAGCCCATGCCTCCCACTCAGTTCCGCTGCGTCCGTGGCACAGACCGCCACCCACCCACCGTCCACAAGCCCCGTGCTGCGGAGCCACCCCAGACAACCCTTCCTGGTCAGGTCTTCTTCTCTGACTGGCCCGGTGAGTCACGGCTGGTTCCTTGTTCCAGAGAGCTTGAGAACATATTTTCCAGTCTCCTGAAAAGTCCAGCTGCTAAAACAACCATAGTTTCCAAATCATTTTGCCATTTCTTCCATTGGGTAAATAGCACCAAGAATAGCTAGACTCCAAGTATCACCAGTATGTGCTCAGACGGCCTCTCCTACATCTCCCTCCTTCTTCGTGTTACCTCTGCTTGCTTCCTAGGCCAGGACAAATCCAGCAGAACACCTCAACCATGAAAATTCTGCAGCCTGCAGGGTACTTAGCAGTTTTTCCTCTTTAACTAGTAAGTCAGTGGTTTTTCAACCCGAGGGGAGACCGTGGTGGGTTACATCAGAGTGTCCTGTGGGGCTTTCCAAATTTCAGGCTCACCTCGCTTTACTATGCTTCCCTTTAGTGTGTTTCACACCTGGTGAGTCTTTTGCAAATCGAACGTAAGATCCTCCACCAGCAAAAAGATGACCACTCGCTTTATTGCGATGCTCACTGTACTGTGGTGGCCTGAAACCGAGCCCACAGTACCTCTGAGGTGTGTCTACTGCACAAACAGTCCTCCCCCTCAGCTCCTTCCCCAAATTCTGGCATGCCCTTCAGGTCTGAATGGTCCCACAGGTCACTGTGAAACTGTACCCGTCCCCAGCTCCTCAATACCAGTTGTGAACTACTGAGAGCAACTTTGATCCTAGATATGCAATATTTAATTTCTTTTCAGAGAGTAAATGAATCGTTGTTCTTAGGCACCTTGTAATCATTTGGGGTGGGTGGGGCCAGGTGAAAGGGCATGTCTGCTTAATAGACACACCCACGCTTATTGAGAGAAGATATTCCCAAGAAGTAAGTGAGTACATGCTTTTATTTAGACAGATCGAATGTCCTTTCTGCTAGTAGTGAGTTTTGAGTTTCTCCTGTCCTTTGATGAGAGGGCGGCATACTTTCTGGTACAAAGCCCGGCAGGAAATATGTTGAGCTGTGAGAACGTTTGGTTGTTACAACCAGCCAATCGGCCCGAAGCGCGAAGCCGTCCCAGCCAACACGGCAGCAGGCCGAGAGCATGTGCTCCGGGAAAACTGAGTTTACAAAACAGGTGGAGCCAAGTGTGCCCTGGTACAGACTAAGGGAAGGTGTTAATCCCTCTCTTAATTATGGGTCACCCCAGGTGATTTACATGACCCGAGGCTTCCCTGCTTCCCTGTCCTGTCAGCAGGGTCTCCTTTTCCTCTTTCCCCTGACAGGTCGCCCCTGGTTTGCTTCCAAGACACCAGGCCCTGGCCGGTGCTGCTTCTTAGCTACATGGTTTGATCTGTCCCCTGCAGGTAAGTAACAGTAAACCCTTTGCATCTGTGGCTCATCCCTAATGACGGAGCCTCTGTTCCCAATCACCTTAATAAGACTGGCCCTTTTCTTTTGAGCTTTTCCCGCTAAGAGGAGGCAATAAAACATGGAGTAAGCAAGCTGCGGTGGATATCTTTCACAGCGGCAACCGGGGTGTCAGAAAGGACATGGTCACGGCCCTACAGTGTGGGACTCACCTGGACACACGCAGTTGCACCTGATACCCTGCTGGATGAAGTCGGCAGCCACGGCCTTGGTGAGGCCGATCACGGCCGCCTTGGTTGTGCTGTACACACATCTGTTCACGACTCCTGGGGAAGGGAGGGTTCAACAAGTGAAGGACTAAAACACACAGCCTCCTGTGGGAAGGGAATACAAATACATGTCCCCAGGAACCACTGTCACGCTGCCTCTCACCCACCCTCTTAAAGAATGAATACCAGGTTTTCTCTTAACAGGGCTAGTTTCTGAAAGGGGGAAAACTTGCTGAGACAGGTGTTGACACGCTGCACTTAAGTGATGCAGAGGTCTCTGTTTTTCCTCCTCAGGTGGTAGACCCCTTAGGCAGATGCCAAAGGAGAATCAGGGGAAAGAAAACAACAAAACAAAATCAAGAGGCCAAGGCGTGTCTTTGCATTCCTCTCTTGTGTAGGTTTAGTGTGTATCCTTGAAAAGGGAAGGATGTTACCTCAGCAGCAGCTAGTTCATGTCACACCTGCAAACCCATCTGTGCCAGACGGGCCCTTATCTCATCTGCTGCAACCCCAGCTCCTTGGCTCCTCATTAGGGCCCAGAGCAGCTGTCTCCGGGGCACGCTCTGGGCCACAGGCAGTCACCTCCCCGGGAATGACAGACTTTGCACAGAGCTCTGTCGTCAACACTCTCCCACTGTAGAAGACTGTGTCTGCCTGACACTCACCCCTGCAGGACCATGACTTACTGTGGACCATGACTTACAGGGGAACCTAGTGGGTGTCAATACATCTTTTTTTTTGATTCATTAAATGGGTACATGTTTCCTTCTCCCTCTTGGTTTCCTTCTTCCTGCAACTGATTTTCATTCCCATATCCATTAGAGAAATACAAGGAGGGCAAAGCAAAAAAAAAACCTTTTCTTTAATTTTATGACTGGTTCACATCGAAGACAAAGGGACTGGTGGTTAAGGAACTTAAGGCCAATTTTTAAAAGCAGTTTTGAAGTGATGTGTGAGTTTTGTGATTTTTACTACGCTTGTTCCCTTGGGGAGGGGTGTGGACACCTGCATGGCGATCCCAGGGAGACAGACCTACCTTTTTTTTTTTTTTTTTATCCTCACCCGAGGACATTTTTGCATTTTTTGTTCAGACAGAGCGGGAGGGAGAGAGAGGAAGAGAGAGAGAGAAACATCGATGTGAAGGGACACATCGAGTGGTTGCCACCCGCACGACCAACCAGGGCCGGGGACAAACTGCAACCGAGGTACGTGCCCTTAGCGGGAACCGAACCCGGGTCTCTCTGTACCGCAGGCCGACGCTCTAACCGCTGAGCCAAACCGGCCAGGGCAGACCTACCTTTGATGCTGGAAGCCACAGAGGACATGTTGATGATGTTGCCAGATTTCTGAGCGAGCATCTGCCAAAAACAAAACAATTAAAAAAAAAAATGTCGCTCTGCAGGCTGCACACACTACCTCTTTAAAAGACCTGTATTTCCTTAGGCTTTGCAGATCCGCCCGCCTAGAGCCCTGTTTCCTAAGAACATCGCTCAGAATTCCTCCACTACGGTGCGAACTTCGTGAGACGAGGGTCTCTGGCTGTTTTTCCCTCTGGACAGGGCACACAGTCGGCGGTCAACACAGTTTGCTGGATCACAATAAAGTGCAGCTTGCTGGGCCCCAGACCTGGAGGACAGCTAATGAAATGAGCTGCTATGAGTTAAAAAGTTTTCAAATGAAGTTTGTACTCGATTCATTCTAAGACATGTGCGTATTTTCAGGATAATACCTCTATGTGTAAGGGTGTGGTGCCCGTGAATGTTTTGGGGGAACAAGCAAGAGGTGGGGAGAATTCCTGCCGGATGGCCACTAACTTCTCACTGAAACCGGAGGCCAGGAAAACGGCCACAACAAAGCAGGGGAGACGGTGGACAAGAGTGTGGTGAAGAGTTAAAAGAACTGTCGGAGAAATGGAAGAACCGACTAGAGAGCAGAAGACAAAACTCTCTGTGTCATGAAAATCCAGCGGAAAGTTTCTAGAAGAAGTCTCCACAGGCAGGGAAAGGGTCTGAACAAAACCCACTTCTGTTGGAGGCGTTTCTCCAGCAGCTTTCGGCAAAGAGGTGCAGGACCGGAGAAAGCGAATGATCGGATGGATCCAGGGGCGAGACTGCAAGATTATACGTTTCCCGATGGTATCCTTCTTGCTTCCCATTTTGCTACTTAGCCACTAATTGTACCCAAAAGCAAATTCTAAAAAACCCTAAGGCATTGATTGGCTGGATAGACTAACAGGACACAGAAGAGGCTGAGGTGACCCAACCAAGTCAGGGAAATGTCAGGGAGAAAATATTTACCCCAGCTTGTTTATCTGTTTCATAAAGAATATAATGGTGCTGATATTAAAAAAGGGGCCCAACTTTCAGGGTTCGAATCTTGGCTCTAACCACTTGCTGGTTATGTGAACTTGGGCAAGTTCCATGGTCTCCTATTTATTTTTTTATTAAAATAAATTTTTTTTCTTTGTTAATTTAGAGAGAGAGGAAGGAACAGGGAGAGAGAGCTGGAAACATTGATGAGAGAGAACATTGATTGGCCGCCTCCTGCATGCCCCCCACTGGGAATCGGGCCCACAACCTGGGCATCAAACCAGCAGCCTCTTGGTGCATGGGTCGACGCTCAACCACTGAGCCACACCAGCCAGGCAACAGCTCCTATTTAATCTCTGCACCACAGGTGTGGTGCTGGTGCCTGCCTCATCAGACTGTTCTGGCCAGCGTGTCCCCTTGCTGTCCCTCTTCGAGGAACCCTCTCCCAGATACCTAAGTGCACCTCACTGATATCCTAGCTTCTTTTTCTTCATAGTATTCTCAACCACCCACATGATGTATGTTTATCCGAGTACATGTTATCCTCTCTCACCCCTCAAAAAAATGGAATCTCCCTTACAGAAGACTTCGTCGTATTCTCTTCTGCACCTAGAAAGGAGCCTGGCATGTACAAAGTGCTTAATATTCCTCGCATGAGTGAACTGGAAGGTTCAGTGAGTTAATTTATATTAAATTCCTTGATATAAATGTTCAATACAGGTTAGTCATTATGTCAGCTATTATTCTTCAGCACCCATGGGGGTCCTTTCTAGCTGCCCTGTGAGGAGACCTACTTATCCAGTGGTGCTTGTCCTAGTGAGGGTGATCGTCTTACTTTGGGAAGAAATGCCTTGATCATCAGGTACATGCTGCGGACATTGAGGTTCATTGAGAAGTCCCAGTCTTTCTCTTCACAGTCTAGGATGGTTCCATGGTGCACAAAACTGGAACAGGGATTAAACAATGGGGTAAATGACCACTGAAAAAGATTTATATTCAATTTCCTTATCATCTTTATTGTCGTTTGTTGACTGAGATCATTATCTTTTCACTTACCAAGTGTTTGATAAGTTTCGCATATCAAACCCACTATCACTTAGTACATCAGGTTAGGAAGTATCACAACAACCTCAGCTAAATGAATTTATTTAAAAACAATATCCTTCCTTTAAAGAAGAAGGCGAGAGTTTGAGGCCACCAAACATAAGAAGCTTTATACCAACTGCACAGGAAACTTGAAAAACTCATACATGAGCACAGTGCACCTGCCCTGACTCCTATTTCAAGAGCAACAGTGCCTCCTGGTGGCACAATGTAACATTCTCAAGGGAAGTCAAAATTGCAAGGAAAACATCTCAGGGTAGCAAAGTAATATTGCTACTGTACACTTCTAATATATAGAGTAAACAGAGCAGAACAACAACAGACCCTTAAAATAACCTTCATTCTTTTTCAAGTCACACTTCTTTCAGGAAGTGTTGTAAAAACTGGGGTCTTGAGTGATTTCACTCTTCCCTGGACCCAAATTATGTAATTAATGATAAAATTTTCTTTGATTGTGACTGTACTTCCAATTTAATGGAATGATAGAAAGAACTACATGATCTGTTTCTATACCACTTGCCTAGCTTAAAATGGAATACATTCTCAAAAAACTAATTTTTCTAGTTGATTGTTTTGGTGGCTTTGGGTATATTTGTATATGAGGGATGAGCAGGTTGTTTCTAAAAGAGGTCATCACAAATTGTTGCTTTAATTTAATTCCCATACATTGTAACACATAATAAACTATGGATAGATCAAGGTCCTCCCACCCTCCGGCTCTGAAACATGGTTAGGAAGAAACACAAATACATATTAGAAGGCTCAAGGATTATTCTATCAGCACAGCAGTACAAATGTAACACTACATAAGAAAAGTGGAACTTCAGAATGTATCAATTCATTTTCTGTTCAAGCCTTAGTTGTACTCATTGCTACTGTCACCCTGAGAGAGGACTACATTAACACTCCCTGCATGAACATGGAGCTACTCCACTTCCAGTCTCAAGTTCACGTCCAGTTCAGCAAGCCTGGTACCATCCTAACAAGGTTAATGAATGAATTCCTTTTGTGCTGCATGCAAAGGTACAATATGAAATTGCTTCTGCTGGGATTCACTGTCCCAGTAAGAAACACTGAGCTTGGGATAATGTAAAGGACTTGCTAGAACGCTATGCCAAAAAACTGGGAACGTCTGCATTTCAATAAACTGAGTACTTGGCTTCTAATAAATATACTTCGTTTTAAAGACACTTGCCTGGAAACCAGTTTCTCCTTTTATTTTATAAGTCCTAGTGGGACATCAGTGACAAGTCCCTTGGTGTGAGCCTGTCACCAGCCTTAAGAAGATCCATACCTTTCGATAAGTACCAGTTGTCTTGAGTAGACCTTAACTGTCTTTAGGTTCCAAACCCATCTCAACTTCTATGGCTATCTTACTTGCAATAAAAATTCTCTCCAAAATCAAGTCATATTTCCCAAGGGCTATATTATGGTTCATGATGAGTAATTTGGCCACATTATCAAAATTCTTTTACTAAAAGTCATTGAAAACTTTCTGTAAGAAGAGCGAAATCAAAAAGTTCTGGATTACCCAGCGACATTAAAGAGAACATCAAGTCTCTCGACTTCATTGGCAAACTGGTCAATTTGTTTCTTCTTGGTGACATCAAGGACTCGAGTTTGAATGCCTGAAAAATAAAACAGAAGACACTATTTCCTTATACCATAAAAATATCTAGCGTTGGAGATTCAGCCGCTTGGAAGGGTGGGATTGCAGTATCTGTCCAGGTAGGCTTCATAGAATTGTTGATCATTAGTAAGGTCTTAAGTATCTCATTAGTAAAAATCTTAGAGTCCTCCCATCTGGACCTCCCAATAACACACCTCCGTCTCTCCATTCTCTGAATTGACCAATAAAGATGTTTTCCGGGTAGACGTACAATGAAGTATAAATGATCGATACCAGATGCTTCTCAGTAAGCAAGCAGTCAGAACTGAACATGGGTTACTTGAGCCCATTCATTCCCCCAGTGGCTGAGCCACTACCACAGAAATTCTGAATTCTGTTGTGGGGAGAGGGGTGGTAGGAATGAGAGTGTTTCTATTTGCGAGCTTTACTTTGATGTCAATTCCGTTATTTATTGAAATGAGTTGATCATCACTAATTTCTGGCCTTAATTGCAAGAAGAAATGAGAGGCCAGATGAAGGGATGAAACACTTGAAGCATTCGGTCTGGGATGAGCACCCTGCAGAAGTTACCAGAGAAATCCAAACATCCTCTAAGAAAGGCAGCACTCATTATTGTTTTTTTAAACAATATATGGTTGATTTTATTATTCTCTTTCAGATACAGAAAAAAAATGAACAAGGAAAGGGAAGATCGAAATTGACTTTCAGGGCGACTCCTTTTCCCTGTGTACTTTCTCAGTTCAATAGCTCTCCTTAGAGCTGTCAGAATGATGCTTCAGCACAGTCCAGTGCAGCTGTCTAACTCAATGAACTTACCGGTGTTTGATCACGTAACCTGTTCTGTTTAGATTTCTTTCAGAGTAAATCTAATTGAGGTTCTCTGGTGTTGGAGTTGGGTTCAGTGTGGTGCAGTCAGGGGTGATAGACGCATAAATAATTTGAGTAATCTCTTTGGGTTTCTGATCCTGACACATGATTTTAGGGCTGGGCTGTCTCCCATGTGGTTGCCACGAGCCAGTTGTGGCTGCTGAGCACTTGAAAGGCAGCGAGTCTGAACTGAAATGTGCTGTATGTGTAAAATGTGGATTTCAAAGACTTAGTATGAGAAAAGGACTGTAAACTATTTTCATTAATATTTTTTGATGGAGTATTTTAAATGGTAATTTTAGCTAAATAAAAAAGATTATTAAATTAACTTTAACCTGTTTCATTAACCATTTATTTATTTATTTATTTATTCCTCACCTGAGGATATTTTCCCATTGGTTTTTAGAGAAAGTGGAAAGGAGGGAGGGAGGGAGAGAAACATCGATGTGTCTCTCATGGCTTGGTTGCCTCTCGCATGACCCCGACCAGGGCCAGGAATTGAACCTGCAACCCAGGTACATGCCCTTGACCAGGAATCGAACCTGAAATCCTTTACTCCATGAGCAGGTGCTCTAACCCCTGAGCAAAACTGACTAGGGTTCATTTACTTTTTAAAAGTAGCCACTAGAGACCTGGCCGGTTTGGCTAAGTGGTTAGAGTGTCGGCCCTGCAGACCAAAAAGTTGAGGGTTCGACTCCGGTCAAGGGCAGGTACCTCCATCCCCAGCGTTGGTCGGGGTCGTGTGGGAGGCAGCTGATCATGTGTCTCTCTCACCTTGATGTTTCTCTCTCTCCCTCTCTTCCTCCCTCACTCCCACTCTACCTAAAAAATCAATGGAAATATATCCTCGGTAAGGATTAAAAAAGTACAAGAGGAAATAAATAAAAGCAGCCATGAGAACATTTAAAACAACACGTGGGGCCGTGGTGGTGTACTGGACAGCTCTGTCTCTGGAGTGAAAAGCTGTCATAAACAGTTAACAACAGTTAAACTTGCATATAGAATTTTCTTGTTAGGTCCTGCATCCTTCAACATGTTGGATAAATAAAAAATGTGAAGTACATATCTACAATTTTGTTTATGCATTTAAGTATGCAGGTTTTTGTCTGCAGGTTCCTGGAGTAGGAACTTGATTATCAGAGAGTCAGGTTCCAGAAAGGAGGCCAGAGGCGCCGAGCAGCTCAGGTGTTCTCTTCCAACACCGGAGCACTGCTGCTTTATAATACCCCGTAGACTCTGAACCCCAGGTTCAAGCGGCTGAGTTGCTTACCGGGGTACTTTTCCAGTTCCTGCAGTTTGGACTCATTGATATCTGTGGCGATGACTTTGGCACCTTCTCTTGCAAAAGCCTGGGAGACACAATACACAAATAAACGCTTTGTCTACTTGGTTAAACTGCTCTCAAGAATGGAAAGTCATTTAGCCTTTTCTCCTTTATCTTATTTTCATTGCTTTTTTTTTACACCCTCCCCCATAAAATAGGTGGGATTTCAAACGAGTCTCACTTCACCCTTCTTATTGTTATTTTTACATTAATTAGAACATGAGATATAGTGTGCTTATCATCTGACTTTGTCCCCTTAGGTAATATAAATTTTTTTTTTTTTTAAAAGAAACACTAGGATTTTGTCATTAACACCTCTCAAAATACCATTCTGTGATTTGATAACCTGTATTCCATTTCTGAGCAGGTTCTTATCCTATTTCATTTCTTATTATGTCCCAAATAGTGAGAAAAATGGGTCGTTTCAACACTTTTCCTCCCAAAAGCATACCACTGTTTTCATAAATGTCAAACTGTAACCTGCCGTTAGGCTCCAAGTGCACCATTAGCTCAGTGTGGGGAATAATGGGCGAGAATTTGGTACCAGTGGGCAGGTGACGGTAACCTGCCAGCTTTAACTCTGGAGTTTGCCTGAGCTCACATCCTTTCAGAGGGCTCTGCTCTCCCGTAGGCCCCTGCAGCACTGAGACCCGTAAGTCAGTTTCTCAGAATCAAAGGTCATTCCTTATGTCACATAACAAGCATGTGAGGTATTCATTCCCTCATCTGCCTGGGGGTCAGGAGTAGCAACTTTTCTTTTGTAATTTTAGACAACAGAAGCACAGAACTCAAAAAAAAAAAAAAAAAAGAAAAAGAGCAGAATTAACTAACCGTGGAATCTCTCCCCATAATTCAATACTTTAACAGCTACTGAGCGAGCAGCAAGCGTTGGTAACTTACTATGGCAGCTGCCTGGCCGATGCCCTGAGCAGCTGCTGTCAGGATGATGACTTTCCCGTCAAGTCGGCCCATAATGGAACCTGTAGTTGAATCTAAAGTCAGGTTTATTGAATGGTTTACATGGTGGCACATGGCCCTGTGCCGGCAGTAACATTTAGAACAAATGGTTTGATGTACAGCTTGAAGCACTTGAAGACAGCACCTCTGTACAAACTGCCCCATCCTCTGAATGCTTACTCTAGATACCGAGCTGTGAATATCAGAAACGTTTAGCATAACCCACTGAAGTGCTAACTGAGGCAGAGAGTGGACTTGCACCGACCTTTCACGTCTTCAGAACCTGGAGAAGAGGACCTCAGAGGCGACCAGCAGGCGGGGAGTCCGGCCCTCACTGCCCCCACCCCCTCGCCGCCCTCGCTCCCGCAGCCACGGCGTCCTGTGCGCCCTCACAACTCAGGCTGCTTCTTGCTTTCTCTCCTGTAAACTGTTGCCAGGGTTTGCACTATCAATCGTCTGTGGTTTTTCCTTGTGCCTTGGAAAGATGTCACGGTTGGCTTCAGAGACTCACTGAAGATAAGAGCCGGAAAATCAGATCATGTCCAATACCTCCACTTTACAGATGAGGACACTGGCCTGGCCTGCTCCAGGTCATAGAGCTGGTCAGTAGCAGAGCCAGCACTAAACTCAGGCCTCCTGCTGCTTTTGCGATGTGAACATTGCACCCACCGCGCTGCCGGTCCTGGGTTAAAGTTTAAGCATGCAGCAGCGACACTTTAACAGACACAAGTCAGCCATTTGGAAAAGGGAGGACTGAGAAATTCTGATGAAGGGGAAAAAGATGTGCAGGAGATATCTGGCCAGTGCTTGGATTGCAGATCCTATGGGGAGAGGAATGGCTAGTGATGATGAGGTTGGGGTGGTCAACAGTCAGAGGCTGTCTCCGGGGAACTAGGTTCTGTCTCTTACCACTGTCTTTAATGTGAGGCCCTGACCTCATACCGAGTCGCAGAATGGCTCTATGTCCCTGCATCATCCAGGCACTCCAGGCCAAAAAAGGGGATGGTGGTGTTAGGTGGGTGTTGAGTAAACCAAGGTAAGGAGCGCATGCACAGAATTGAAGCAATCACTGCTCAGTGACCTGCCTGATAAAGTGCAGGCAGCTAGCTCCTCCTGAAAGGGCCCACTCCTTTCTTTTTAAATTGATCTCTGTTCCCTTCAGCCCTATCTGACGTTTTGTTTTGTTTTTTGTTAATCCTCACCTAAGGATATTTTTTCATTGATTTTCAGGCAGAGTGGAAAGGAGGGGGAGAGAGAGAGAGAAAAAACAAACAAACACTGATGTGAGAGATACACATCAATTGGTTGCTTCCCATGTGACGGCTGGGGATTGAACCCAGGTATGTGCCCTTGACTGGGAATCAAACCTGAGATGCTTGGGGTCCATGGGCCTCATTCTAACCGCTGAACCAAACCAGCCAGGGCAGCCCTACCGGACTGTGTGCTCCCTTTCCAGGCTCCACCCTTTGTCCAAGCCAGTGGCTCCTGTGCGCAATGGGCGCGGAAGGATTTATGGAGAGTGTGACATGACCAGGCATGTATTTCAGGAAGATCACTGTGGAAAACAGACCTGGATGGTGAGACCTAGCCTGGTCACCAATGCTCTCGCTTCAGAGCTTATGTGCTGCGCCGTGTTTTGCGGCTATGAATTCAAACCCGGGCCTGATTGCAGGGAAGACCTGGTTCATGTTCATGTTGTTCTGCTGTTGGTCCTCACACACCCAGCAGACCCCATATGGGGCCAGGGCCTGCGTCTCCTGCACCCAGAACCCGGAATCTGACCACTAGGCCACCTGCGTCCGGAAACCCACTGCTGCGTCCGGTGCTGAAGCCATCTCCCCGGAGATGTGCTGAAGCCATCTCCCCGCGGGCCGGTGCCTGGGGCGGCGCGAACACCGCGCAGACCCACTTCTAGGAGACACGCCGCTCCTCGCATGGGCTCGCACCCCCTGCTGCACACCTCGGGGCGCCAGCCTGCTGCCACCCAGACGGGCACCCGCCCTCGCCCAGGCCCGCGGCTTCCGCGGTGGTCTGCCTGCCCTTTCAGCCTCCCCTCCTCACATTCTCTCTCCTCCCCTGACACCACTTCCCCTGACAAAGCCCACGCGTGTTTAACTCTGTCTTGGAGTCCGCCTCTCAGAGGGCCAGCCTAAAACCGCAGTGGAAGAACCGGCTCCAGGGACCAGCTGACAACTTCCCAGGTGTCCTCTGATTAGGGCCACATTTGTTACGCGGTGGAGAAACGGGGCTTTTATGATGCCGACCTCCTCCGATGCAATGAGTTTGCACTGCTGTTTTTTCTTCTTAGACAAGTGATACATTTTCATTTTAAACATGAAAACAGTTACGAGATATATTCAACATATACTTTAGAAAATAAGAGAGTCCAATAATCTTTACCCTTCTCCAAGCCTGAGCACCGTGTATTAAAAAGCTGTTTACACTACAGTCATTAGTGGCTTTTGGCACAGGCACTGTGAGGTGCGACCGAGGTCTCCCTTTGACACCCCGAGGAGCACTTGCTGAACCACCGCTGAAGTACAGAGAAGCCTTCGGCTCATTCTGAAAGCCTTCCCCTAGCTGTCCCCCCTGTCCTTCTGGGACCAGATTTTGGAGGCAAAGGTTTATAATTAGATAAAACTGCACTATCAAAGGAAAAGAGATTTATTTGGGGAAATGAGCGCAAACATGGTCTGAAATGGTAAAATGAGGCAACTTTCAATACATTCAACGTGAGAACGACACTCAATAGCTTTTTTACTCTAAATATTGGAATCAAAGTGTTAATTTCCCATGAGCACAATCACAAACAAAACATTTCAGCAACTCTATCTTCACAAGCCAGGAGGAAAAATGTTCACGTAAGACAATGTAAAATCCTCTCTTCTTTGGCTATTTTGAAAAACTTATTAATATACCAGAGTTTCAAACTCATTAAAAGCCTACCCTTATCCTGATCTAACTGCTAAAATTAATCTTGAAATAGGTCATGTGCAGAAAAAAAGCAACATCTAAAAAAAACAACCGCCCCTTTTTCCCAGTCCAAAGTTTCATTTAAAATCTTACTTTAGAGCAGCAAATGGATGGCGTCCTCCCGATCCCTCAGCCAGAAACAAACTTGAGACCTTTGTGCAGAAACAAGTCAGGTGCTTAACAGTGCACGCTGGGATTTGTAGTTCAGGTTTCTCCCATTTTTAAGAGGAGTCTCACATTCATGTACTACTGTACATGTGTACAGGCTGCCACCTAGTGGAGCTCTGATAGTACTGTTAAGTCCAAGTAGAAGGCGAAAAGTGGAAACGCATTTTACAGCTTACTTAGGATGTGGACATCGTTTCCTTCACTCTAACCGCTCTAAGTCCCTGTCATTTGTTTGCACCTACTATGTGCTGTTCTGGGGTATTCAGGATTGAATGAGCCAGAAATTGCCTATGGAAGGTAGCAGAGCAACAAAATAGAAAGAACCCAGGTCACTGAAGATATTGGAGCCTTCCTTCTGGGCCTTTGACCTAGTAGATTGTCTTGAGGGAGAGAAATAAAAATCTCTTGTGTTTAAGTTGTGGTTATTTTGTCATCCTCAGTCTGTTCTAATACTAATACATATTTAGTGGCAGAAGGCAGCCATCCTGACTATACCAAGGGGGTGTGGTTGGGGATCTTCAGAAGTACATGTTGGGTGAGAAAAAATTAAGTTTGGCTGAAGAGAACAGATATCAGATAAAAAAAAAAGAATTGGTCATGTGAACCCTCTATGTTAGGCTTACTAACTTGCATTTTATGGGGCATGTCATTGGGCAGAGTGGTTGTGTAGGTTATTTGTGCATGTAGTATTTAACCTGGCTCACTCAGCACCCACCTGAATCACTTTACCCTGCTTTTTACTTTCTAAAGTCTGGAGAGCAAAACTCTCAACTCCCAGCCTCCTTAGCTGCTAGAGCTGGCTGGCCAGTGAAATGTAGTCTGGAATTTCTGAGGGCTTCTCTCTTAGAAAGGTGAGGCCTCCTGAAAAGCTTTTGACTTTTGCTCTTTCCCTCTTCTCCTGGAATGCAGATCTGATGCCTTGGGACATAGCAGCCATGTTGTGACTTGGTGTGAGGTCAGAGGCTCACATTGACGACAGCAGGGTTAAGAGAAGGGACCTGGTTCCCCGAAGACAGCCTCAAGAGCCCTACACGAACTCCTCTGGACTTCTCATGTGAGAAAAATAAACTTTAGATGCCCTTTTTCTTTAGGTTTTTTGTTCATAACAGTCATAGCGGTTAAGAACAAACATTGTGGAGTCAGAAAGATGAAGGTAGTAGGTCCCATATCTTTTCCTCAGTAGTTAAGTCACTTAGCTCCCCAGACCTCAGTTTTCTCCTCTGTGAAAGGGAGGTAACTATTGCACTTAAGCCAGGGATGTTGTGAAGAGGAAGGAATTAGCATGTAAAACCATCAGCATAATGTGTTACATTTATACTCAATAAATGTTAACTATTAGACATTAAATTATAATGGATAGCAAAAACTGTCCTTTAAAAAGTGAAAAGACCCTGCCTTAATTTCTGCATGTGCCCACGTGAGCTCTTTGCTAAAACTGTACGTTATTACCCCACTGTTGCTTCTGATGTTGGGTCTCGCGATCTGCAACCACACGCAGCTGTGCTGCTTGCTGTACTGATGCCTTTCCTTTGACTTCTGAGGATTTTGAAATAGACTTTTTTTTTTTTTTAACTCATCTTTATTGTTGAATGTATTACAGATGTCCCCCCCCCCTTTTCCCCCATTGGCCCCCTCCTCCCCAATCCTGCCCCACTCCTGCCTTCCCCACTATTGTTGGTGTCCATTGGTTGTGCACATATGCATGCAAGTTCTTTGGTTTATCTCATCCCGCCCTCCCTCCCCACTTCCCTTTGAGGTTCATCAGTCTAGCAACCAATTTGTATTTCTTAATTCCTTCATCTTTTTCAACCATCCCCCCAGCCCCTGCCCATCTGGCAAACAACAAAAAGTTCTCTATCTAGGAGTCTGCTTCTGTTCTGCTTGCTCATTTTGTTTGTAGATTCAACTGTTGATAGATATGTATTACTTGCCATTTTATTGTTCATATTTTTGTTGTTCTTCTCCTTCAAGAAGACCCTTCAACAGTTCATATGATACTGGTTTGGTGGTGGTGAACTCCTTTAGCTTTTTCTTGTCTGGGGAACTTTTGATATGTCCACTGATTCTAAATGATAGCTTTGCAGGATAATCTTGGTTGTAGGTCGTTGCTTTTCATCACCTTGAATATCTCTTGCCACTCCCTTCTGGCCTGCAAAGTTTCTTTTGAGAAATCAGCTGACAGTTTTATGGGAACTCCTTTGTAGGTTACAAACTGCTTTAATCCTGCTGCTTTTAAGATTTTCTCTTTGTATTTAACCTTTGGCATTTTGATGATGATGTGTCTTGGTGTGGACCTCTTTGGGTTCCTCTTGTTTGGGATTCTCTGTGCTTCCTGGACTTGTATGTCTGTTTCTTTAGCCAAGTTAGGGAAGTTTTCTGTCATTATTGTTTCAAATAGGTTTTCAATTTCTTGTTCTCTCTCTTCTCCTTCTGGCACCCCTATGATGTGAATGTTGGCACCCTTGAAGTTGTCCCAGAGGCTCCTTACACTTTCCTCATTTTTTTGGATTCTTTCTTCTTTTTGCTGTTCTGATTGGGTGTTTTTTGCTTCCTTTTATTCCAAATTGATGGTTTGCTTCTTGGCTTTACCTACTCTACTATTGATTCTCTGTAAATTATTCTTATTTCAGTAAGTGCATCCTTCATTTCTGACTAGTCTTTTTTTATGTTGATGTTTTCACTAAGTTCCTTGGAGGTCTCCTTAAGTTCCTTGAATGTCTCACCAAGTTCCTTGAGCAATCTTATAACCTGTGTTTTGAACTCTGCATCTGATTGATTGCTTATCTCCATTTTGTTTAATTCTTTTCCTGAAATTTTGTTCTTTTCTTTCATTTGGGACATGTTTCTTTGTCTCCTCATTTTGGTTGCTTCTCTGTGATTATTTCTATGTATTAGGTAGAGTTGCTGTCTCCTAGGCTTCGTAGGGTGACCTATTATTGTAGGTGTCCTGTAGGATCCAGAGGCAGAGCCGCTCTGATCACCCCAGCTGGGCCATCAAGGTGCACCTCTCGTGTGAACTGTACACCCTTCTGTTGTAATTGAGTGTTGATTTCTGTTGGCACATCGATGAGAGGGATTTATTCAGGCTGATCAGCTGCAAGGACTGGCTGTGCCCACTGACCACTGGCTTCTGTCTACCTTGGAGGATCAGCAGTGTAGGGGCCCACCACACAGAGCAAGACTTACTTCATCAGGGTTCTGGTACTCACTGTGTCTACTCACTGATTTGTTACCTGTGGAGGTGGTTGGGTGGTGGTGTTTCAATGTGGTCTGAAGCTGTCCACTGGGTATGCTGGCTCTGGGGAAAGGTCAGCTACTGCCTGTGCTCTATCCGGGGCCACCAGGCATAAGATACAAAGTGATATGCAGATGGCTGCTTCTTGTGCTGGGCTTGGAGGTGTCCAGGAAAAGCCAAGTTGTGAACCAAGGCTGGCTGCTTCTAGTGATAGTCCTGGGGCCCCTTAATGAGAAGTATGGGGCTCGCTAAACCAGATGCTGCTTGTTTGAGGATTTTAGGAAACTCTGAAGCAGGATCCAAGACAGGCCAATCCTATGGTAAAGCCTTTGGAAACAGCTTGGGTGGGCCTGAAAGTTGTGTGGGGCAGGTTCTCAGGGAATCACCAGGGTGGGGCAGCTGTCTGCCGCCCCAGGGAAGGGCTCACCAAAGGAACAAAGGCCTCTGACAGCATGTCTGTCCAGAAGAAATCTCTCTAGCCCTCGTCCCGAGGCCAAACAGCTCAGTTCTTCCCTGTATGTTTCTGGTGCCCCTCAAGCTGCCTCTTCTCGGAGCTTAGAGGGAGCAAGTCTGAGTAAGTCTGTGGGCGGGCCCTTCAAGAGGAGCTGCCTGGGGCTCCAGCAGCTGCAGCCTCTCTCAGCCTCAGTTACCGCTGGGTTTTCCATCCAGAAGTTATGGGGACTTATCTTCTTGGCACTGGAACCCTGAGCTGGGCACCTGGTGTGGGATGGGGACCCCTCACTCCTCAGGGAAGACCTTCCCAGCCAAGGTGTCTTTCCTGATTTTTATCTGCCATATGTGGGTGTGAGACCACACCATCCATGCCTCCACCCCTCCTACCAGTCTCGATGTGGCTGCTTTAATTTTGTAGTTGTAGGACTTCCATTCAGCTCAATTTCAGGTGGTTCTGAATGATGGTTGTGTTGTAGTTTAGTTGTCATTTTGATGTGGTTGTGGGAGGAGGTGATACCGCATTTACCTACGCTGGCATCTTGACTGGAAGTCTTTGAAATAGACTTTTTATGAGTATGAGAATTCTCCAATCAAGTCCAACTCCAACACTTTTATTTTTAAAATCCTCACCCTAGGATTTTTTTTTTAAATTGATTTTAGAGAGAAGGGGAGACAGAGAAACATAAACTGGTTGCCTACTGTACTCGTCCTGACCAGGGATTGAACCTGCAACACAGGTATGTGCCCTGACTGGGAATCAAACCCGCACACTTTTGGTGTACAAGATGATGCTCCAACTAAGCCACCCGCCCAAGGGTCCAACACTTTTCTTCATGCAGCTTTCTGCAGCCTCCTTCGTCCACTGACCTACAACAGTAAGGTTCGCTCTACAACAGCACAAGTCACGTGGTATTGCAAATATTTGCTCCCCCATCTATCTTGTCAGTGGGCAAAATTTCATCAAGGCTAGGGACCATATCTTTTTTCCTTACAATGTTGTCAGCTCATGTTAAAAGTTATATCATCTGTTCTTTTTTCTAAACACAGTTGAGTTTCACAAGGGCAGTGCCTTTTGGTGCCCAGACCAATGATCAGCACATAGTAGCTCAGTATGAATAAGCAGGCTCTTAATAAGCTTCTTGAATATAATTCTGCCAGACTCTCAATAAAATGTTCCCTATGAACCATACATGTTTTGTCTTCTCTGGTCCTGACTTTACTTTCAGAACATTTAGTATTGTCTAACTATATTACTGTTTCCAACATTTTTGCC